TGTTCGCTTACTTGTAATGGGCAAATCATTGCTGAATCCAGATCACGAGCTAGCCGACTACAACTACACAGGTTAGATGCTACATTTAGCTTTCCTCTTTATTGAGTAAATGTCTCTCTCTCTGTTCCCTCAGGCTCCAAATATTGGACTCCAAAAGAAAGACAGCAGTTCCGTCGTGCTTGGCGCGTTCACCGTAAACAGTTCAACATGGTTCAGAGTTCTGTAGAGACGAAATCATTGCCAGAGATTATAGAGTATTATTATTCCTGGAAAAAGTATTGCCCTGATGAGTACAGGGGAAGGAACCGTCACGTTAGTGAAGAGGTGAGCAGGTTTAATGTTACTTAATTTTTTATAAGTTTGTCAAATTTTATTATTTTATTTGCTAGTTTTTTGTTCGTTTTTTAACTAATATTAATGATTTTTTAAGGCTTTTTTTAATCATCACTTTGTTTATTTATTATTATTATTATTTTTTTTTTTAATTATTTCCTCCATTAGTTATTGTCAGAGGAAGAGGAAGGATTGTTCTGTCCCTCATCGACCGGCTCACACTCGTCTGATTCAAACGATGCCGACCAGCAGCCGCTAGATGACTCCGCTCACATTAACGGAAACCTCTCTTCCTCAAAATCCTCAGTCTGGTCCTCAAAAAGCAGCGAGAAAGGTCTTTCAAGGGGAGGTGGTCCTAAATTGGGCCGGTACCTGACTGAGTCTCGTAGTTTCAGCAGTCACTCCATGAGCAGTGGGCAGTCGATCATTGGACCTTCTGGTAACCAGGAGCACCGCTGCAAGTATCCAGGATGTAATCAGGTGAGTGGGCAGTGTTTGGTATGTGTCTGGTATGTAATTAATGTGTTTGTTTGAGAAAAAATTGGCTTGTTTGTTTTTTGATTGCTTGCTAAGCGATTAGCTGGAAATGCTAACAAAACATGAATGATAGTCTGAGTTTGATATTATTATACAAATTCCTAGAAGCACAGTGTAGCATACATAATGATGATAACAGATTGTGTAATTCACATTGATTATCCAAGTATTTGGTACACTTGATCTTCAAAAGAAATTTACATGTATATGTACTTTTCAATGAACAACAATAAACATGATTGGTGATGACGATAATTTTTAGGTGTATTCATCTATTTTTGCACTCAATGGTCACATAAGAATCCATGGCGGAAGGTAATAATATTATGGCGTATTTAAAATAATTATACATTTTTGTTTTATGTAGTTGGTATCCAAAGAAGTTTGACGTTGAGACAATGAGAGAGGAGAGTCCCCCACTGGCTCTATCTGATGCTCGGGACCCCATGACAAAGAAAGAGGAAGAACTCCTCCGCAAGCATCAGCTCGAGGTTGCTAAGACAATGGTTATGGAGCTGTCACAGCCACGCAGCCCTGTCCATCCACTGGGCAACCTTACCCCTAGCCCTAAGCCGTCTCCTGGTCACGGGCGATCTTCTCTGGTCAAGAGCAAGAAGGCCTGCAGTGCTAGCCCTGCAGATAAGGAAGGATTCTATCCTTGCAATCGTTGTGGACGGTAAGAGAGAACTCCTTGTGATTATTTTTTGAATAATTATCAAAATTGGAATTATTTTTTGTGCGTTTTGCGTAGGGTATTTCATAAAGTTAAAAGTCGCTCTGCTCACATGAAGTCCCATATTATCAAGCAGCAAGTGTATGTGATGTATTTGATAGTAGATATTTCATACTTTACTTCTCTCTCTCTCTCTCTCTCCCTCTCTCTCTCTCTCTCTCTCTCTCTCTCTCTCTCTCTCTCTCTCTCTCTCTCTCTCTCTCTCTCTCTCTCTCTCTCTCTCTCTCTTTCTCTCCCTCTCTCTCTCTCCTCTCTCTTCTTCCCTGCCCTTTCTCCTAGTCAGTAACCGTCCCTCTTCCAAAGCTGCAGATTTTTCCTGAAATCAATTATTGCTACAAATCACAGAGACCTCTTTAGAAATAAACAAAATAAATAAATAATATACTTATTAATATAGCGTATTTTAGATAAAAGAGACAGAGACACACACATGCACTCACACACAGAGAGAACTCAGTAACACACCTTATCATTAAACATCATTAACTGTTGTTGTAACATATATATATAGCACATTCACTTTTCACTTGATTTTAAGGTTTAATACTTTGATAATTACATTAATAGTAGCACAACGTTTACACTTGGCAATCATTATTATTTTTAACATAATTAGCCACAATGAGTGATAGAGGCCAGTTTGGTTTAGGCTATGCAAACAGCTTAATTGCCAAAATACACTCTCCTAAGTGAAATCATTGTTATATACTACTTACGGTTCCTGTTAAGGACCTTAAGACTTTTGTTCAATTATGTGTATAGGATCAAGTAACTGGTGATAAATCTAAATAATTTCTTGATGACTCATTTGGAAGTTCAAGGTACAAACAATTTTAGCAAATTTTTGACAACAGTCTGTGTGAATAATAGCGTAGAGTATGTTTATTATTATTTTGAGTAAATTAAAATTGTTTGCAATAATAATAATAATAATAATAATAATAATAATAAATAATACCGAGCATTATTTCTTTATAGTACATAATTTTAAACAAAATTAATTGAGAGAGTGAGAGGAACGACAAAGAACAGATATTATTAAGTCCATTGATACAGGTGCAGCTTATGCTCAGTTAAAAGTGCTAGGAGTGCATCCCTCTCGTTAGGATGAGTAATTGATACAATATCAAGACAAGGCTCACGATCAGTTGATAAGTTCTGAATGGCAGCAGCGCTACCAACATCACAAAGACAAGTCTAAAATAAAATAAAATAAAATAATACCATCTTTTACAATGCTCCATTAACCGTATTTACCTTATTAAGTGATTCGTTCCCATAAGCAACCAGTAGTTGGCCTACAGTCCCTGGACGTTGAAAGAGAAGAGATCGGGAGAGTACCCTGTTGGTTGTTCCTCCGTTAAACGAATGAACTACCTGACAGGAGATGGGCTCAGTTAATGGAGTGTTCTTTAATTGACAAACCTATGAATAATAATTACATAATTAAATTTAAAATGTTATTTAGGCAAACCACTATATAGTTAGTTTTTACGGAGATAATGAACACTACGGTAGTATTAATCATTTATGGTTATTCCAACTTTTAGTATTTATTAATAGTTATTAGTTATTAATAGTAGTTATTAATGGTTCTTAGTAGCTTACTATGTGTCTTGAGGCCGGCAATCGCTTTGAGGGTCTAAAGGAAGCCATGCAGTGTCTGGTGACAGGCTCAAATGATATACTAGTACAATTACCTATTGGAGTGGGAGGAGTTATGGTAACCATGCATATGGTGAAGATGATATACACGTACCAGAAAGATAGCTAAAGGGGTGGAGTTTGTAAGATTCACTGGCTGAGGGCTTCTCCCAAAATAATCCGCCATCCAAAGTACCAGCCAATATACCACTACAGCTAAGGAGGGAAAGCCTTAATGAACATAATACATGTAATAAATTTTAAAAACCACTTTAAACTGTATCTAATATTTTTGAAGCATTGGTAGTTAGGCTATACATAATATTATAAGCTCTTGGCTCTACTAATCTTAGCTTTTTTTCTATAATAGTTATAAAAACATTACCAATTTATTGGCATTAGTATTTTAACGATCATTTGCTAAATTTGCTTAAATTACCGTACAAAAGAATAAGAATTGGTAGTACCTTAACGAGGACGAGCGAGAGAAAGGAACATAAGTAAGAGCAGTGATGGGAACAGATGATGAGGAGGAGGTGGTGCTCTTTATTTCAGAGAGATAACTATCAGTCCTTCTCAGGTCATACTGATAGAGAGACCCATTGGCTAGTCCACACATGAAATAGTTGGACTCATCTGTGTCCCAACAGCACGACCAACCTGGGGCTGGTAACGAATATCTAAAAATTAAGAAAAAATACTAAATATACTAAAATATACTAAAATATACTAAAATATACTAATATACTAGTATCTAAAAATTACTGTCTAATACAGCCAATATTTTTTTCATTAAAATATGCCACAAAACCTCTCTCCTTTCCTTCGTCTCTTTTTCTCTTACTTTTGTACGACTATGTTACTCTGGAGGCTCGTTAGTTGGAGTGTTTTATCTAGTCCTGTCGTGAGTACCAGTTGGTTTCCTCCTTGAGGACTAAACTGAACGTCACGTATGCACTTGTCATGAATGCGTACAAATTCCCTGCTTCTCATGTCATCAAGTAAACTAATCTATAAAAGGGGAAATGAAAAATAATAATTTATGCTTGGTATTCACTCGGAGAAAGTTATAATGTTGCTTCAAAATTTGGCCCACAAACCATGTACTATAGTAAAGGGCTGTTCCTATTTTACATAAAAAATTTGAACTGATTCCAGATGAAAATTAAATTCTTAAAATGGCTCCAAAACTTGGTATTTATTCAAAAATGGCTAGAAAGAAATTTTTCATTTATTTTTATAATTTTTTCACATGTTCCTATGCTATATAGTGTTTCACTTCTCCTCTGAACAGTACATGCATGTACATGTACATGTTACATGCATGTACACGTACATGTATGCGTCTACCAAATTCAGACCTTTGTAAGGCCAAACCCAGGGAAGAGACTGTTAGACGAAGGTCTTGAGACAACTAACATACTAGAATCCTGTAACCCAAGGACACGAGCACCGCCAGTCTACAGTAATTAAAATAAAATATATTATTTATTATTAATATGCAATACTGCAATGACAAAAAAAAGGTCTAAGAGAGCTAAACAGAAAACTTCATGAGCTGATAAACACTAAAGTATAGTGCATGGCTTTCGGAGTGACTTTAAAAAATCATAAAAAATCCAAATTTGATTGGAATCAGCTCAAACTTGCTACACAACACAAGAACATGTATATGTATTAGAAAACATTATAAAAATGGAGAATTTTCTCCTAGTCATTTTTGGTGAAATTTGGCCAAATATCCTGTACTATAGTACAGGAACTTTGGCCCGATTTTGGAGTAACTTCAAAAATTCGTAAAAAATCCAATTTTGATCGGAATCAGCTCAAACTTGCTACACAACATAAGAACATGTATATGTATTAGAAAACATTATTAAAATGAAGAATTTTCTCCTAGTCATTTTTGGTGAAATTTGGCCAAATACCCTGTACTATAAGTACAGGAACTTTGGCCTGATTTTGGAGTAACTTCAAAAATTCTTTAAAAATCCAATTTTGATCGGAATCAGCTCAAACTTGCTACACAACATAAAAACATGTAAATGTACCAGGAAAAATTATAAAAATGAAGAATTCTCTCCTGGCCATTTTTGGCAAAATACCATGGATCAGAGTTTCCTATTCAGCTCTACTGAGCCAGCTAAATAGGACACTCATGAGCTGGCAAGAACCTTGTGGGAATATCTGCTGCAATAGCAAGGGACGTTAGAATGTATAGAACATCTAAAGGTCCTTAATCATTAATTATTGCTCTTACTGATGATATGGGTATAACTTTGTATGGTTGGAATATCCCCTGGCATGCTTCAGGAGTATTGGTGAGTGCAGGCTCAGATACAATGCCTCTACCTCTGTACTGCTCCAACCTAAATTTGTATAAAATAATAAAAGTAATAATTGCATAAAAGGGAGAGTTTTTACTGTTGCTTGCAAGCTCTTAGTTCCTCCTTCACTCTCTCGCATTCTGCTTTTGCTAGCTGGTATTGTATCAAAGCTTGTCCCTCAGACTTTTGTGCAGCTATTCTAGCCAACTTCTCTTCCTCTAACTCCTAAATCATTAATAGCAATCATTTTATTGAGTGATAGTGCTGGCCATCACGGACCATGAGTGCTCTGTCCCTCTCGGTCGTATCGATGGCTGATATTGACTTTGTGTAAATGATTCTAATGTCTCCTTTCTTTGCCTTTGCATTGCATTGGGGACACCTCTCTCCTTGGCCCTTTAGCCACTTCTCTATGCATCTAAAAAATTAATAAAAAGTATAAGGAATACTAAAATCCCGATTACATGTATCCAAAAAGGTGTCCACACCTAAGCGACGCAATCCTGTGGTTCCCGGAATTAGACCAACCCTCAAAACATATAGAGCAAGTCTGACCCTATAAAATACATCGTTATGGTAACGGGAGCGTGCCCATCAATATGGCGTGCCTCGTTTTCGTCTGACATGCTCATGTCTTTCTTTTGATTCTGCTTTCTCTTTTTTCTGGTCGGTTGAAAGTCATCGCATAACGAGTCTTCATCTAATGGTGGGTTCTCTCTGAGTCTTTCAATTGCTTCTAGTGCTAGATTAGGAAGTACAGGGACATCGTGTGACCGGTGAATATTTTCTTCTTCTTCTTCTTCACTTTGAATCTCAATTACATCCTCTTCTTCTTCTTCTCTTTCCTCCTCTTGCATGTCAGCTTGAGTTTCTCTTTGCTCCTCCTCCATTACTTATAGTTAATAAACTCTACTAGTCACGTGATCAATAGTTATTAAAACTACTAATTAACCAGCCACTCCTTCTCGCCTCACTGCATGCAGACTTAGCAATTCAGAGAAACAATGTCTATGTTGTCAGAGGAGCTGCATGAGCATGAGTTAGATCCTCTTCGTCAGAAAGCTGCATCTCTCCTAATCTCTTGTTTGGGGGAGTTATTTGGGACTTGGTTGTTAACACTTATCATTTGCTCTGTGGTTGCTGCAGCTATTATTACAGGCTAGCATAAAATGGTGTATGCATTATTTATAAATACACTTAAACATAGTGGTCTATAGATTCCTAATAGCTTTTAGCTTATATAGAACTAATATGTCACTCTACTATTTCATGTTGTCTATTTTGTCCTTATACAGAAGCTCAGGTAGGCTTATGGCAGGTTGCATTACCATCTGGCTTTGGTGTGTCTATATCAATATTCATATCAGCTCATTTCTCAGATGCTCATCTTAACCCAGCTGTATCCATTGCCTTTGCTGTTGTGCGATTTCGCCAGTTTCATTGGTTACGTTTAGGTCCTTACATCCTCTCACAATTCCTTGGTTCCCTCATTGCTGGTCTAACTGTAATCATATTCTATCATGGAGCAATACAGTCATTTGAAGCAGCTCATAACATCACACGAGGAGAGCCTGGGAGTCAGCTATCAGGAATGGTTTTTGGAGAGTACTTTCCTAACCCGGCCCTCTACAATCACAACGAGTTCTCTAGCGTGACGTCAGTTTTTGAGGCCTTCCTGGTTGAAGCCTGGGGCACATTTATACTTGTCTTTGTTATTTTCAGTCTCACTCATCCAAGCAATAGTACCATATCTAGCACTAAAGTAGTAGTACCAATTGCTATTGGTATAACTGTTGCAGTGATCATCAGTATCTATGGGCCATTGACTCAAGCAGGTCTCAATCCTGCTAGGGACTTTGGGCCACGAGTGATTGCAGCTCTGGCAGGATGGGGCACCATAGCCATACCTGGCCCTAGGTATGGTTTCTGGTTATACATTGTAGGACCGATTATCGGAGGAGTATTAGGAGGAGGAGCAAGTGATTTGACCCTTTACTGTTTTAGAAGATTCAAGAAGTAGAGTCTTAAAACATGCAACGCTAAATAATAATCATTTTTTATTATGCTGGTTTGTTCTTTTAATAATTTTGTCATAAAATTATGACAATAATAATAATAATAATAATAATAACACATGTAATTTTTAAAGATAACAGGTAAGGTAACATTCACAAAAATTTAATTAATTGAATTATTAAAATTACTAATTAACCAGCCACTCCTTCTCACTGCAGACTTAGTAAAATCAGAGAAATAATGTCTATGTCACAGGAGCTGCATGAGTTGCCTTCTTCTTTCCGAGGAGAGATGAATGACTTGGATCGGATTGACACACTAGCTATTAAAAGTTTGTCTTCATTCTCTTTATAATTATCTATCTTTCTTTCTCCTCTTGCAGTAAATGAAAGACAAGAAGAGTCATGTATGTGCCTCCTACAAGAAGAAACTGTAAAGGAAATGACCATAGAGTAGGTTTAACCATTCAAGCAACTATTATTCCATATGCAATAACAACAACAACAACAGTAATAATAATGATAATGATATAATAATAATGATAATAATAATAATGGAAAATCTCTCTCCACTTTGTAGTGTCCCTGTCCCACATGTAAATTTCTCTTTCAATAAAAACCCTCTTCGTCAGAAAGCTGCATCTCTCCTAATCTCTTGTTTGGGGGAGTTATTTGGGACTTGGCTGTTGACACTTATCATTTGCTCTGTGGTTGCTGCAGCTATTATTACAGGCTAGCATAAAATGGTGTATGGCTGTATGAATTATTTATAAATACACTTAAACATAGTGGTCTATAGATTCCTAATAGCTTTTAGCTTATATAGGACTAGTATGTCACTTTACTATTTCATGTTGTCTATTTTGTCCTTATACAGAAGCCCAGAAAGGCTTATGGCAGGTTGCATTACCAGCTGGTTTTGGTGTGTCTATATCAATATTCATATCAGCTCATTTCTCAGATGCTCATCTTAACCCTGCTGTATCTATTGCCTTTGCCGTCGTGCGATTCCACCAGTTTCATTGGTCACGTTTAGGCCCTTACGTCCTCTCACAGTTCCTTGGTTCTCTGATTGCTGGTCTAACTGTATTTGCATTCTATCATGGAGCAATACAGTCATTTGAAGCAGCTCATAACATCACAAGGGGGGAGCCTGGGAGTCAGCTATCAGGAATGGTTTTTGGAGAATACTTCCCTAACCCGGCCCTCTACAACCACAACGAGTTCTCTAGCGTGATGTCAGTTTTTGAGGCCTTCCTGGTTGAAGCCTGGGGCACATTTATACTTGTCTTTGTTATTTTCAGTCTCACTCATCCAAGCAATAGTACTATATCTAACACCAAAGTAGTAGTACCAATTGCTATTGGTATAACTGTTGCAGTGATCATCAGTATCTATGGGCCATTAACTCAAGCAGGTCTCAATCCTGCTAGAGACTTTGGGCCACGCGTGATTGCAGCTCTGGCAGGATGGGGTACCATAGCCATACCTGGCCCTAGATATGGTTTCTGGTTGTACATTGTAGGACCGATTATCGGAGGAGTATTAGGAGGAGGGGCAAGTGATTTAACCCTTTACTGTTTTAGAAGATTCAAGAAGGAGAGTCATTAAACATGCAAGACTAAATAATTATCATATTTTATTATGTTGGTTTGTTCTTTTAATAATTGTGACATAAAATTGTGACAATAATAATAATAATAATAATAATACATGTAATTTTTTAGATAATAGGTAAGGTAACATACACGTACATACACAGTCAAGGTGGGAAGAGAGAGTGAGAGGGATAAGATTATAATTACATTGTACAATATCTCAGACAGTGTACACCAGCATTACCATTCATTATTGTATAATAATTATTATAATTAATCTTTTGCATCTCCAATACCATCAGCATTAATAGCAAACATTGCTTCTGCCTCAGGGAGGCAGGGAGAGTCATAGATCTTGCATATACGAGTTTCGCCACGACCTTTCCTTAAATATAGTCTAAGAGGGAAAAGAAGAAGAGAATAAAAACATGTACTGTATTTTGCATGCACGCCATAGCTATAATAACAGTAAAAGATATAGTGACTGGAATTGCAATACAATCAATGATATACTCTTTCCTTACCTAGTGGTTGAAGCGTGGGCGATTATATTTCCACCAATCGGTTTCTTTGGGTCGGCCGAAAACATTGCAGCTGCTCCATCAACTTGAGCAACAACTTGATTAGTAATGACAACAGCCACGCCAAACTAGAGACATGAGGCAGAGCTAGTGTTAATAGCACAAGGAAGTAATAATGTACCTCGTCTGAGAGTCTTAATAGAGTCCGCAGAAACCGCGCCAGGTGCATCTGACGGGCGCTGAGCTCTCCTCTTCCAGAGTAATCCGTTCTATAAAGTGCAGTAGCACTATCAACCACTAGTAGTGCATATCTGATGGGAAGAAATAATAAATAGATTGCAATATAATGCTCTCTCAAGAAAAGAATTCAGGGTCAGGTTTCCCACAGGATTATGGCATAGTACTTAGCTTCTTGTCAGGAAATATTAAAGTTGCTCATTAATGCTAAAAAATCTGGTCAAAGACCCTGTATTGTAGTACAGGGTACATGTATTTTGCCAAAAATGACTAAGAGAGAATTCTCAATTTTTATAATATTTTCTGATACATATACATGTTCTTATGTTATGTAGCAAGTTTGAGCTGATTCCGATCAAAATTGAATTTTTTATGAATTTTTAAAGTTGCTCAAAAATCGGGCCAAAGTCCCTGTACTATAGTACAGGGATTTTGGCCAAATTTCGCCAAAAATGACTAAGAGAGAATTCTCCATTTTAATAATTTTTTTCTGATGCATATACATGTACTTATGTTGCGTAGAAATTCTGAACTGATTCCAATCAAAATTGGATTTTTTAATGAATTTTTAAAGTCCATACGCTATCATGAAGCATGCCTTTTAAACTCATTTAGCATGCTTTGTGAAAAACCCTGTTTGAGGCACAATAAAAATACTTCAATTTCCCCACGAGTACCTTGTTTCTGACATCATGGCAGCTGCTTGCAATAGGAGCTGAGACTGATGGTCGGTGTTATAAGCTCTTGCGTATGCAACATTATCCAGTACATCAGCACCAGATAAATTATACCTAAACATCACATGACCAAGACATGAGGAGTGTATGATGGGTACTAACCTCTCGGCAACTGCTAGGAGTCTCTCTGGACGGAAAGTTCCTTCTGAGTCAATATAGAGACACTTACCCTCTCCACCGCCATTGTCTATAGGTAACTAATGAAGAAATTAAATATAGTAAGTGATTAGTAATCAGAGATATGCAAGTAGATACTGACTGGGTAAAGGGTATATAGTACCTGACAAGTGACTGCTAGCATGTGACATAGCTGAGTCTTTCCGGTTCTGAACTCGCCAAATATTTCAGTAATAGAACCAGTTTCAATGCCACCTTGAGAGGAGAGAGAAAAGAATGAGAGAGAAAAGAATGAGAGAGAAGAGAATGAAATTGGGTTAGTGAATGATCACTGATCAAAGGCTAAAGTGCTAATGTCTGATAGACTAATGACACATTAAAATAGACTGGCTCTAATTTATAACAATTAATTACTATTATTTATGCAGTTACCTTTTAGTAATGTATCCAGTTCTTTTGATCCGGTCGTGATTTGTATTATTTCTGAACGTCTACGGTGAAACTCTGTCGCAGTCGTGAAACCCATTGGGACTAGTTTAGCCGCTTCGTTTTGTATCTTGTCGGCCTTGGCCTCGCTGATACCTTTGATGACTAAAAGAGCTTTTTTAGGAGCGTATGCAACCGATTCTACTGTATGATAGCCAGCCTCTGATAGCTTCTTTACATCGTTGGCACTTATACCGCTTCCCTATGATAAATAATAATAACTATCTCTGTTTCTCTTGTTCTGGGCTACCTCTAGCTTGACTATTGGCTGCGGGCCTATGTTTTCTTCTTCTGTGAGAGCTTCTTGATGATTAATGCTGGCCGCTATAGAGGAAACTGCTGAACTCTCCATGATTGTCCTAGTGTCCTTCCCGCCACAGAAAATGTAGTTATTAAAGAGTTAAATAAACAAGCCACGCCTATATCTCATTCATAAAGCCACGCCCATTTATAGATATGGCGGCTGAGAGCTCTGGTGAAAATGGTGTCGAGACACAGCAGTTACAGCTTAATTACAAGCAATGGAAGGAAAGGTAGTGACCTATTGTATGCTAATGGTTTTATTTACAATCTCAAATAGTTTGTTTTACAAAGAAGCACTTGCCAACCTGACATCCTACAACTCACAATTATTAAAGGAAAGAGCCTCTCGCCTTCCTTATTTTGACGGGCAGACTGGAGTCATTCAGAAAGGTACCGCATAATAAATACTACGTATGGTTTGGGTCGGTGTGGCTAGGCTTATTGGGATGATCCAACTTCCTATCATATTAATATTTTCGTTATTATTGTATAATTATTATATATCATTATTATTTTTGTTATTATTATATCATTATTATTTTTGTTATTATTATATCATTATTATTTTTGTTATTATTATGGCATAGATTGCAGATTATGGCGTAAGACATCCGAACGACACGTTGGGAAGCTTAATGGACAGATATACTCTTATATTCCACACAGATGGAGGCTTGAACCACCCAACACTCACCCACAGGAACACATCAGTAAAGGTTCATTATAAGAACAAGGAGCAGAGAGAGAAGGGGGGAGGGAGGGGTGTGATACCAATATTTTCATTTTATATTTAGTACCATCAGAAGCGTCTAGTGATACCGGTCAACCTCCAGTGGCTCCAGTTAATGGTGTGAATGCATCAGCTCCGCCTCCAAGTACTATGATGTCATCTGATAATAATAACGTACAGGGAACTCCTGTAACTAAGAGAAGCTCTCGTTCTAATACTAAACGTGAAGAGAGTAAGAGTGTATAGAGAGGGAGGGAGGGAATCATTTGCTTTTATATTAGGTATTGCTTCAAGGGCAGCCATAATGGAGTCACCGATTAGCTCCGAACTAAATGAAGAGGAAAGTGACAAAGAAACTGAATTCCAGGACGACTTTGACTCGGAAGAAGAGAAAAGACAACGCAAGAAAAGAAAAGTAAAAAATACTGCTATAATGACAACTATAGCAACCTTGTTACCATTGCAACATTACATCTACTTATAAATTTCTAGACTACAACTCGTCAGCAGCGTTCGACCGTGACAGCTCCTTCCAGACCGACAAGAGACCCTGAAAAGGAGAAACCTTACGCCTGCTCGTGGTGCAATCGCAGGTACAAGACTCAATCATCATTGAAAGCCCACCAGACACAGTATCACTCTAAAGAAACAACTGGTAAGAGAAACTGAGTAATTCTTTACTTTAAAATAATCTAACTGGCGTGATTATCATAACTGTCATTATTTTTCTTGTCCCACTGTAGGCCCAACTGTTGCCGAGAAGCCTCTAGTTGCAGCACTCCCTGTTAACATATCCAGTATTGATAAGATAGGCGGAATAGGAGGGCTGGAGGGAATAGCTCCACCTGTCAAGAAACGCAATCCTTATTGTGACTTTTGTCTTGGAGACGATACTCTGAATCAGAAGTCCGGTAAACCTGAGCGGATGGTTTCATGCGCTGACTGCGGTAGATCAGGTAACGGCTTGCATCTTTATTTTAGTAATTTAATCTCTTCCTTCTCTTCTTTTCAGGACATCCGTCTTGCCTCCAGTTCTCTCCATCCCTTGCTGCAGTTGTCCTAACTTATCGCTGGCAGTGCATAGAGTGCAAGTCTTGCTCCCTTTGTGGAAAATCAGACAATGACGTAAAGTCTATTTTTAGACTTTGATGCTATATTTAGAAATCATTTGTTTCTTTTTGTAGGATCAGTTGCTGTTTTGTGATGATTGCGATAGAGGTTACCACATGTACTGCCTTAAGCCACCAATGAAAGAGGCTCCTGAAGGTATGCAATAATTGCACGTGCGTGTCTGTTATTTTTGGTTGCATTGTAGGTAGTTGGAGTTGTGGTATGTGCTAATTTGTTACTATGCTGGGAGCAGCTGCGGCTGAAATTAATATGGAATTTATGTCCCTCCAATAATGCAATTCATTCAATCAATCAATTAATAATTAACTGATCATTTTCTGCCAATTGTCATTATTATTATTATTATTATGATTATTATGATTTTCGATGTTGAAAAATTCTTAAATCCAGTTTAATAAAAAGTAATACATACATGTGACAAGTATTGTTGGGAGAAAAGGAGGTGCAAGGTTTGATGTACAGTTAGTGTGTGGTGAG